AGCAAAATATGCAGAGGGAAGAAACTGGGCAGGGGGCGGGGGGGAAATGAGGAATATGAACTCTAGGAACATGTGGAAGTTGTTGGCTCTCAAGAGGATGCGAGGAAACCTGAAGATACTGTGATACTTTTGTCCACAGTTTTAAGGATTGGCTTCAGTTGACAGCTTCATTTCAGCTTTATTTTATTTTAATCTGAGCATCAGTCGAATGTTAAACCTGAACATCTGTTTTCTGCTCTGTAGTGCCCCCAAGTGACTAATTTCACACTTTGGTAGACTTCACTGTAAACAATTCATTACTAGGGATTCCAGTTGTTGCTTTGAAATGCAGGCTTTATACTGAAAGCTAATGGAGGGACTTGCTAGTGGATACTTGGTTTGAAAGTCCCTGTGATTCCCTCTGTCCCTGTAACATTTTGAGTGATCTCTAACATCACATTAATCTAAAAATCCCATTTATGTGTATAAAAATCAATTATTTCTCTAACATAACTTTTACTCAGTCATTAGTTGCTTAATGTAAGTTTTAGCCAAATGATGCTAGTCTGTCACCCAGGGAGGTGTGTATCTCTTTGCCAGTGCCACATTTAAATTTCCCCAAACATTACAGGTGAGCAGCAAGGTTTTACCTCAGCTCTTTGGAAGCTGGGGGTGTTGCAATGGACTTAATGCAACTAGAAGTGCAACTTGGGCCTCTGAATGCTTAGGGGTGGGATGTAGGATCTGAGACTTGTGCGTGGCCACGGCTGCTTTTGGGCCAGCCTGAGCCTCTGTTTCATTACCTGTGAACATCGGTTTCAGTATTCCCATTTTACAGCTGGAGAAGCTGGTCTTCCATGGAAATGTTCTGTAACCAAAAGTGCTATGGAGGTGTTCAGTGACGCTGTTAATAGTTGAGTGTATGACCCTGAACAAGTTATTCAATGTGTTTTCATCTCATCCATCTGTAAAATTGTCAGCCCAGCAACTCTCCATCATGGAACACGGGCAAAAGCTCCAACTCCAATAACGTGTTTTGAAGTGTACATGTTACAACACTTACTCAGTAACGGCTACAAGGCAAAAGGCTTTTAACTATTCTTAATCTAATTCTTCAAGCCTCAGCAGCTGGAAGAAAAACTCTTGCTGTAGGCTACAAAAATCTCTCTCTTTCTTTTTTAATTAATTTTTAAATTTTTTCTTTCAAGAAGTGCTAAGTGGACTCAGGGGTAGAGGGAACAGCTCTTATTTAAGATCTGAAGAAGATGCTCCCAGATATTTGGGATATGAAGTCTAAACCATACAGAGTTTGAAACTGAGGGTAAGAATGGATTTTTATCTTTCTGACATGAGCCTATCTGTTTACTTCACAGGTGAATGGAAAGGTAGTAGCAAGAGATGCTGGACACCCCTATTACCCCTTCAATGACCCCTATTAACTACTAGAAAAAAAGGTGTTAGAATAACGTGCTCCTCTGCATGCTCTTCCACAAAGTAATCATTGCCACAATTTGTCAAAAAAACCTGTCCAAATAAAACCTTCCTTCCTGTGTAGGTGTACTTACAATGCACTACTTCTAATTGACCTCCTTTCTGGAGATACTGTAGCTTCCATGTCCAAATTTGCAGATTTATTACAGTAACTGCAAGCTTGCTCCTGGAAGCATCAAATCTTTTTGGGATTAGAAAAAGAGTGGGTGAGCCTAAATCAAGTTCCAAACATGTAATTATCAGGTTAGGGCAATACTTTGGGTTTACTGCCTGGGAAACAGTTTTGTGAAAGCTTTATTTTTTCCCCGGGGGGGGGGGGGGAAGTGGGGGAAAAGGCAGGAAAGCATTTTGGGACTGGCAGGGACTAATTTACTGAGTGCCCATACACTGTTGAGCAGGACTGGAGCTCTAGCACTAACAAGGGTTTTATTTTGTTTCAGTCTCTTAATGAATTGTCTAGCCATCAGAGTACAAAGGGCATGAGGTGTTAGTACCTGCCAGCGCGCTGATGGCGATACTTTCTGTGGCCTTAGCAATGTTAACACTTAATTTTGATTTTTCTCTACCTGTAAAATAGGATTAATGCTTGCTTGCCTCGGTGCAGACAGGGTAGCAAGGCAGAGTTTCTAAAGGCCTCTGGGATTTAAAACAAAGGAACTCTTTCAGATCTGTTGATGCCATTCAGAGACAGTCATAGGCACGATTTCTCATTTGTGTCCGCAGAAAAAAAAGCTTAACTGACTGTAAGTGAAATAAAGAACACTTATTTTAAATTTTCCTGCAGCAATAACAAACATAGAATTTAGAAAAAGAATCCTCTTGTATTCAAATAGTTCAAAAATTAAAGAATGAACTTATTTTAGTTTTGATAACCTCATTTACAGTAGGCTGATAGTAAAACTCTGTCTTCATCTCAAGCGTAATGCCTCCTCAAGTATTTCCTGCCCTGGGCCTCACAGCGCGCAGCTGAACTGGAACAAACCTGTTTATCACTTTTTGTAATCCTTAT